AAAGCAATTCTGATAGTTATTCTTCACCTCCAGGCCTTACACATATTGATAAGTTTTATAAACAAGTCAGTATGTCGCACATTCTTTTCCAGAGACTATGTATATACAGTGAAGAAATTTCTTCTACGAATCGTAGTGCTATAGATATTTGTTTAATTTTATGCAATGTCAATAAAATATTAGTGAAAGTACTTGGTGCTGTACTAGAATACAGAAGACAAAATGTTGAATTTTTCCCAATTGACAAACAAAAACAATCAAAAATATCTTGGATTCTGTGTGAAAAAAATGAAGGCATATGTTCTGAGCTGATAAAACAAATAAATATTAGTCTTGAATTCGCTAAAAAGGCAAATATTACTAAGGAAGTTCGTTCCGAAATTTCTGATCAAGTTGCATTTTTAGTAGATGCCCTACTATCCAGCTCTATTGATGTATTTTCTGAAATGGACAGCAATTACACACAACTCAGGTATAAGCTACTTAAGAAACTCATGGACTATAAAGAACACCACAAAGTAATTGAATTGGCTGAGAAATATGCAGATCATAGAGTTATAGTAGAGGTTTGTTTTGAAACAAACAATATTGATTTATTATATAGTTTTATGGACAAACTTTTTGAACAAAATTTTCGTCAAACCGTTTTTTCTTGGTACTTAGAACAAGGTAAAATTGTAGAATTGTTACGTAATTTTTGTCGCAAACCTAAGTATGAACATGATATATCATTAGCATTAGAATCATATCCAAATTATGGTTGGATAGCTGGAAGTCTTTCTGAAAATACTAACTTAACATGTGAATCCCTAAAACAGTGCTGGTCTAAAGAGGAAACAAATGTCCTTAGAAAACAATACCAATTGAATTTATACAGAATGGCGGTATTGGCAAAAAATGGTCCATTAGCTAAGAACCCAGAGTTGGATGAAATAGATAGACATTTAGAAGTTATTGAACATCAGATAAATATTCCTGAGTGTGTCTTGGAGTTATTGAATTTAGATTTGAAAAGTATGCGTGTGTTATCCCCTGAAGAAATTTTCAATTTATACTTACACAAAAACAACGTAACCTTAGATGAAAATCAATGTTTACGTGCTTTGTCTGTGTTACAATTTATTGAAAATAACGAAGAATGTGAAGCACTCAGTCGCTATTTGTGGTGTGAAACAATATTAAGAGAGACGTTAAAATATCCACTTCATGACCAAGAGATTGGTAACCCTATAGAGCTTATAGACAAACTTTTAATCTTCAAGACATTAAAACTCTTGTATGACAAAGGCCTATTAGATCTCTTACCATCCTTAGACTGGTTGTTGTTTGCTGATGAATTAGAAAACTTTCATTCAAACACTATGTGGCAGTATGTTATGAAAATGGGATTTGAACATTGCTTAAGACCTGATAGTAATAGTATGGATTTTGAAACTTCACTTGTTCAGTAATTTATAAATAATGATTTCAAAACCTATTCATTTTTTTATATACTTTTGTGTATTTGTTTTAATGCTACGTATAATATTTGTAACAATAATTTATAAATAATTAAAAATGTTTAAGTCTTAATAAAATAATTTTAGTTAATTATTCTGATTGGTTACTATCTTACTGGTAAATTATTTGAAGTGTATCCCTAAAAACAGTTATAATATTATTAAATATCCATTATTATTCCAGTTTAACATTTAATAACAAATATTATGCTTTTTAATGAAATGATAGTTATAGCAAACTTTACAATTTAGTTGCTACCTAAAAAATAATGTCTTCTAACATTAGTGGTCAAAGTAGGTTCCATAATTATGTTTATGATCATTTTAAATGATTTGAGATTATCAGTAATATTTATTTTTTTTTTTATTGAACTAAGCCCGGCGACTAAGGTCATTAGCTGTTGTAGTGGTTATGAACTGTGGTAGGAGTGAGGTTGGTAGTAGTAGGGTTTGGTACTGTAGGTTTTTAACAAGGTGTGTTTTGTTTTTGGCAGAATTTCTAGTGGGCACCTATAGGTTTCTGCCATGCCCGGGTGGGAGATGGCGGCCACTCTCTCTAGATACCGTGACTGCCCGGAGAGAAGTGCCGCCCGTGACCGAGGTTTGAACTGGCGACGGTGCGCATTGCAATCGGCGCGTTATCAACTCAGCCACTTCATCCCCCCAATAATATTTATTTGGATATACATACAAATATAGTATCCAAAAAAACTACGCACATGGGGAATAATTTACTGGGTACCTACGTATGTCAGTATTGAGTATTCTAGTTTCAAAATAGCTAAAATATTGTAGGTAAAATGGTAGTATTATATGACAAAAAAAAGTTTGGTATCCACATATTTCTGTATTTCACATTATGTCATGAAAGATAAAAATAATAAATATATTTGATATAGGTAACATAATTACATTATTTTATCTTGTAAATTGTAATTTCTATTTAGAATAGTTTTACAATTATTTAATTAAAAATAAATCAAGAATAACAATAAAAAAAAACAATTATTTTAAAAACATAAAAAAAAGAATTTTTAATATTATAAATTTTTATTAATCTAATGTTGTGACATATAAAAAAATAGGTACTCTTAAAATTCTAAATTGAATTAACTTTTACACTTATTTAATTAATAGTGTCAATGACTATCAAGCAATTAGTTTAGTTCATGTTGTCTACCTATTACAATGTGTATTTGTTTTGCAAAATAGATACAACAAATAACTTTAATAAGTTATTAATATACAAATCAATGCTAAGACCTATCTGGGCCTATGGCATCCAAATATGGGATTGTACTAAGCCCTCCCAAATACGGACTATACAAGCCTTCAGTCTATCTCCCTTCGCCAAATAACATCTGCGCCATTGTACGTCTCAAATCTCTCACTACACAAAAATCTTAAAATTGAAACAGTCTCTACAACAGCTAAAAACTACTACTAAACTGTCCACACCAAAGCAGTTAATCATACAAATCCATTGATTTCTAACTTAGCCAGTGAATTCATGTCAAATAACCCCCCCCCCCACTTCGATTAAAAAGACACTGGTGTCGAGATCTCCTAAATCTCGACCTGCATTAATTTAAAAAAATAATAATAATAAAACTCTCTACCCCAAGTTAGAGGATATCCACACTAGTGGATCTCCTTCCTCACGTTATTTTTCCACTTATATTATCAAATTTAGTTATTGTATTGTATATAAATATTACAGATTGTAAATATTCTATTTTATCAAAATTAAAAAAAAACTATTTTATTATGCTGAAAAAAAAACTATGTACACGGACGAGCATACTTTCATGATCAATGAATCATCCCAAATGATGTTACACTAAGTACGCCTATTTTTTTTTCTTATGCCACATGTGTTATAGTACCTAGTAGAAGAATTAGCTTCATTGTTATAATAGAAGTACCTATACTCAGGAAACAGAGTGAAGAGGCCTTCCCAGTGGAGGTACTTACTACTTTGTCAATTAAATATATTAAATGGTTATAGGCTATAGGTAACTTATAAGTTATAGCTAACGTACCTACTTGACTGCAAAATTTGTTTTTGTACACAATAGAAAGGTTATGCATTATATTATATTCATATGAGCTAGGATGATGGTTAAATCGGTTATTGAAGAAGTGGTAATATAGCATTGCTAGATTCTGTGACAGTGGATATTTTTTAATCACCGTGGATTGATTGATTGGAGATGTAGAATGGGGCTTTTGCAGTGGTGAGCCGATATTTTTTTTTGGGGAGGGGGGGTTCTATCTCTTTACCTAGCTTAATCAAGTTCCACATATTATGTGTAATATTATGGTCAACTTTTATTAATTTTTATTTTTCGGGGGGAGGGATTGACTGAAATATTTGGATGCGGGCATGCGGCTGGTGTCAGTAGTAAGAGATTTTTGCTGCGCCCCAGAGCTAGATGCCATACGTCCAGACGACCAGACGTGATTTAGCAGTAGGTAGTTCAGTGTATCTATTTAAATATATAATATTATTATAATTTTATCTAAGATTGACGTGTATACATTATTACATTATAATATTCACGTCCTGAGTCCCTAACTCCCGACATCAATGAATAATAATGATACGATTGATACGTAGTTTAATAGTTCATACTACGATCATACCGTATTACTACTTATAGTTTATACTATAAGGCCTATGCCCTATGAAATATTAATGTGACCTTGTTTTAAGAAGCTTTGAAGTTTGATTCATGGGTCATAGCATAGACTACTGACATACATTTTATATATATATATGTGTGTGTAGATAAATCTCAGTCCGTGGCAAAGACAAATACACGTAATATCACAGAACAAACAGAATGGAATCTTAAGGCTCATCGAAAAACTGTCCGACATTTCTGAATTTTAAACGTGCTGCCACATACCGAGAAATTCCCTTTTTTTTAAGTTTTCTGTGGTTTGTGGCTACGCTGTTAGTCGGCAATTCCACTCATAACAACAACAACACATGTCCAACCATAGATAACATAGATTATAAATCGATTTGATTCACGATTATAGATAGTACTATCTATAATCGTGGTTTGATTATTTGAATATAATAATATCACAGATATATAGAATAATATATTTATTCTATATAATATCTGTGAATAATATATTAAAAATTTGAACGAACAGTGTTGCACGATATAAAGAAAAATAGTGAAATTCCCGGTACGTGTCAGCATGTTTAAAATCTAGAAATGTCGGACGTAGTTTTATCATCTCCCATAAGAGCCCATGTTAAATGAAATAAGATTCCGTTCTGTTTGTTCTGTGGTAATATGTTTATATTTGTGAGCTGTAGTTGCTTGGGATATCACAAACAGATAAGATTACCGCAAGTTTTGTTTTGATAATTTTATTATGATTTGTGTAAAATTTAAAAAACAAATATTATGGTATTATGTAAGTGTGTAACATGATTACAGGAACTTAAATACTGGTAAGTCTTATGTAATGTTGATGTTATTATATAATAATAATATTGTATTTCCCTTACTGCTTTACGTCCTTTTGCTTTTACTACTAGCTCTACTGGCTACTATTTTTATACCTACTACCTATCTAGAGGTAATCTGAGGTGTATTATAATTAGGTACCTAGTAGTATTTGATAACTATTACCTAATGAATATAACATAATGCTAATTGGATACTAATTAGTAGGTAATTAAATTAAACAATACATAGGTCATAGATGCGTGCAATTTTAATTTTTCAGTAGCAGGTATGTATTTTGTTTTCTTATTGATTAAACGTTTGTTTAATATGAATAAATTAATTTTGTATCAGTGAAAGTGATTTGGCTCGCTCATATTGTATTTTTTTGTAAAAATCGTATTTAAATACCTAATAGTACTTATAGTTTATACTGTTCGTCATTTCAAATTGTATGGGTACTCAAAATGAAGATAAGACTTCAGGAAGGTTACTAAACTAAAAGACTCAGTACAACTCAGTACAATAGTATAAATAGTATACAATTTCATTATAATTTAATAGGTAGGTATTAATTATAAAAATATACCTAATAGTACTCACTACTACTCTTTGGGCCTGGGCATAGATTTACATAGGTATCTTTGCATCATATTTGTATAGGTAATTTCCATGCAATGAAACTTATAAATTATTAGCTTAAAATAATGTTGTATGTTTTACAGCGATGGAAAGTTGGAGAAAAATTACATATGTGGTGGCCATTTTTATGTTCTTGATACAAATACGTCCACTAGAACCATATTTAACTGCTTATCTCACTGGGCCAAATGGGAAGATTTCTCTTTCAGAGGTACATAAGTAGTATTATTTTTAATCTTGATTTTAAAATATTTCTTCCAATACAAAAGTATATATAAGTTTATTGTTTAAATAATTATTGCATTTACATTACTAGATAAGTAGTTATAACTAAGTATTTATGTGTGAACTTAATAATTATAATGTAAAATTTAAAATTGTATATAATCAAAGACCCTGTCATTCTCACATTATTTTTCAAACTTAATTTTTAATATTTTTATAATGTAATTTTAATACAGATACATTTTTATATCCCTATGAATTATATTTTATTATTGAGTTACCTGGGAGTTTAATCTGAATTGTGTATGTTACAGGTGGCTAACTCGATGGAGTCTATTAGATCATACTCTGCTCTTATAGCAACGTTCATAATGTTAATCATCTCAGACTACCTTCTATACAAGACGGTGGTTATAATCTTAACATCTTGCTCATGTATCACTTATATTCTTATGGCGGGTTTTCCAAGCTTAGTACAATTAAAAGTTAGTGCTAATATTTCAAACATATTTATATTATAATAAGGTCAATAATATTATTATAGTATTTGTAAACTAATTTCAGGTGTCTATGTTCTTTTATGGATCAGCATACTGTACCACAACAGTAGCATCATGTTATTTATTTGCCCGTATCAAAGACAAAAAACATTTTCAAAAGTCTGCCAGCTTTGCGGCTGTTGGCTTGGAGCTAGGAAAGTTCTTTGGAGATGTCTCTGGTCAAATCATAGTCAGCTCAAGTGGAGGAAGCTACTCATTACTGCCATACTGTAATGCATTTGGTTAGTATTTTACAATATAATAATATGTTTAATATTTATTTTACATCATGTACGAAATCCTACTCAGTTTCCTATTCTTAAATGACAGTTACTTCAAAAATACCCAATATTGAATACATAGTTAGAATGGATATACATGAATATTTTCTTAAGAAAAGTAGAAATACTCCCTCATTACCATTCAATTTTGATGTAATTTGTAGAACAAACCTTAAAATTATATTTCTATTAAAAATATAATTTTTTGTAGTTAACTTATAATTTATAACCAATATGTATATTGAACTCCAAGTTTGAAATCCAATTCATTTAACTTTAATTTTTTGATTAAAATTGTGTTATAAAAATTAACAATATTAAATTACAACATTTTTATTAAGTTTCATAAACTCAGTGTTGTATTATAAATTATCAGTTATTTTATGTACTATACTAGTCTATGTTGGTGTAACTTCAATTAATTATCTAAATCTGTTTATTTTTTTTCAGCTATGTTCTTGGCTACAATTTGGGCTTTTTTATTTCCTCCGATTAAACCAAAGGATTCTTTGAAGACGAATTGCCCAGATGAAAATACCATGCTTCTCGGAAATAGTGGAAACATTACATCCAATACTCATGAAATAAAACATTGTAGGTAATCATAGACAATTGAAATAAGGCACAATTTCTAGATTCAAGGCAGTAATGAATAATAGGCAATAACTAAACACTAATGTCTTGTTTGGATTCTATTGCTGGCATATTTACACTTTTTAATGTCTAGGCAATAGCAGGGTGGATAATGAATATAAGATAGTACTTGTTTTGAAACAAATCTGGTTGGATTTTAAGACTTCACTCTCAAATAAAATTATACTAAAAAAATCTCTTTGGTATATATTTGGCATGGCAGCATATGTTCAGGTACCTATTAAAATATTTTAAAACAATTTATATTTAATTGGATTATGTATGAAATTACTTTGATTAATCCAGTATTAATTGCACATTTTATAACTTCATACAATTATATTTATTTCAAGCATAATACATTTACAAATTATGTAATTTATCAAAATATCTGGTATAATATACAATATATTGTAATTATATTTGTAATTATTCATATTGATTCAAAAAAATATATTTAGCCAATATTTGGCTAATGCTAGCACATTATATAAGTTGATTTTTCAAGTATGCTCACCTTGTTTTTATGCATAATATATATAAATTCTGGTTTTTTGAACTTTTAAATACATTGGAAAACCATATTTTTGAATTATTGAGATTTAAAATAGGAACCCCTCTTTTTCATTTTTAATTATCAAGCAAATATTTTTTTTAGAATTTTCATGTATCAAAATCAAAATTCAAGCGAGTAGTTTTTGAGTTATATAACTTTGTGTAGTTAGGATAATATGTGTATGATAATGGATTAGGTAGGTATGGGGCTTAGACAATTTTAAATAAAAATTACTATTGATGTAGCTTTACAAATAATTTGTAAAAATGATCCAAGTATAATAAATATTATATCTAATTTTATATATAGTTATTTATACTCATTAGATTTTTGAACACATGACACTTTTAGGTAGTACAACAAATATCAGAAATTTGAAAATATGGTCTTTAGTTAAACTTGAAAATTTCATAAATCAGAATTTAAATACATTTATTATTCAAGTCGAAAATGGAGGTTACCATGCTTAAAAAATCACCCTGCATATTAATTTTATATGGTTAATGTATTGTAAAATAATGTTAGTATATGTTTTAGTAGTGTTTCCCAACCTTTCTGTTAAAGTGATTTACAAATTTAATCTTTGTGGAGTAGACGACTCCAATCTTCCCTTCAATTATGAAAATCAAGTATTACATTATATACCTAGTAACATAAATAAACATTTTTATTATTTGTAATGTTATAATTTTATTTTAATTTAATACAATAATGAATTCTTAATTATGCTAAATACAAAGATTATTTTTGATTATTGATACATAATAATAAAAATAATAATTCAGTTTGTGCTCCCATAATATTGATGTACTGCTCATCTGTGTGGACAATAAATATATGAGCATCTATGGGCTATGATACAAGATACAACGATACCATTTACAATCATAACTCATAAGCGTATTTAACAATAAGACAACATATTTTCCACTACCAAAATAAAATAATACAAAAGTTACTATAAATATAATGGATATCAATGTCTTACACTAGATATATATTATATTTTACATTATAACTATTTGTAAAGGTATCAAATAAAGCATCATTTAAGAATTTTTAGCCAATTTACAGCTATAACAATTTTTATGTATTTACTAATTTTTATTTTTTTTTAATTAAGATAATATTTTCCCTGTTATTAGTTTACAAACAAATCCTGAAACAGAGATATGTTGAGAAACACTGTATTTTAGTATATAATGGTATTTTAATATTTTAATTTATTTAGGTTTTGAATAATATGAATGTTCTGTACTCATATGTTGCTAACAAACATGGTCATAATGATATCTTGTCTAATGGATTTGCTGAGTCAATGGTCACATTGTGTGGTTAGTATTTTCGAATTTAATTATAAAATATCTACGTAATAATATATTAATATCTTACTTGCACTACCTATATACTTGGACTGATTATATTTTTATAAAATGTGTATTTGATTAATATACCTATTGAGTTTTGACTAATAATTTATCATTAATTTTATTGATTTCACAGTGTTATGTGTGTGTGTTGTTTTTTTTTGTCACTAGTTTAGGTTATATTATTTTATAGCTCCAGTTTTGTAATTAAGATTGCCTAATACTCTTTTAGTCTAAAGATAATATTTCCTGTCAATATTATCGGTCCATTCCTACAATTATTCTACAGTTAAGAGAAATATACACACAGTAATTAAAAAATAAAAAATAAAGATAAAATAGTCATAGAAAAGAATATAAGTAGTTAAATAATTTGATTATCAAAATATGTTATGATAAAAATAATAATAAATTAACTCCTTTTCCACTGTAACATTTATAAATTGATGACTAATGTCCTTATAACAAAATTGAAAATGTTAACTTGTGCTCGATTACACTTTAAAATAATTTGATAAGTCACTTTATAAATATATTTTATTCAGTGATACCAATTGACATACTGCAAGTATATGAAATTTTTTATACCATTAATGTGCAAACTAAAAATGACTAAAATCGATAAATTAAAAAAAAAATTAAGTAGGTACGAAATATTTCAAAATTGAAGTATAGGGTGTCCAACGAGAACTTACTCATTGCGATATCTCCTAAGATAATAAATATATCATAAATCTGTTTTTTTTTTTTTTATTAGACTCACAGATACAAGGACTACATATATATATTTTTTATTTAATTAAATGTTTTGGTAAAGTAAAAAAATTAATTTTTTTATTTTTGAAACAATTGAATGTATCCATTTTGTAGTTTATTTTTTCTGAAAATTTTAATCTTTCAACATTTTATTTTCATTAATTTCATGATTTTAAATAATTTTTTTAGTTTTTACGCCATACGGCGAAAACCCAGTTTTTGTCCTGATCGTGAAATGTGAATCCCCTTCTGAGGCTATTGGGTATATCTTCACGAGACATTCTGTATACAATATATTAAAATAATATTTAACTCAACTATTACAACTATTATACGTATTTTAATATTAAAAACCAAACATGTTACATTGGATATTGTACTAACTATTATTATTTATTAATACATTTATGTCTTAGGTGCATTGGGTGCTTATCTAATTGGTAAAGTGCAATTGGATTGGAATTATTATGGTGATATATTTACATCATTTTGCTCTATTTTGATGGGTGTTTTCATGATGTCTTGTTACTTTTATGAGCATATACAATTAATATATTTATCATATATATTATATGGTCTAATTAGTGAAGCAATATTAGTAATAACCTTGTGAGTATACATTAAATAACTTTTAAAATTATCAAATAAATAGCATAGTAACAGTTAAAGTCAATTATGTCACTTGTAGTTTATGATAAACAACACAAATTACATTAGGAAATTAAACATTTATTGTTTATGGCTTGATAACTTTTTTCTTTTGTATATTATACTTTTTGAAATAAATAAAGTTATCCTGATAGAAATTAGCTATTACCTGACAATTTTAATACTCAAGTAATCTGGCCTAACACCCAATATCCAAGCAAAGTTTATTTTATTGTTGATACATTTTTTACTGTTTTAAATTCAAATGAAAAATTGAAAGCATGGCTTTGGTAATTTTGATTAAAAATAAATGTCTTGATCAAGTCTTGATAGTGATGATACTAATGATACAATTGTCTAATAAAAATATTATAACTTTATATTAAATTTTGTTTAATCTGTATTTTTTTTGTATTTAGGTGTGAGTTGGCAAATCATTTAAAAAGTCAATGTTATTCCCTTGTAATAGGGTTCAATTTATTAGGTTCTTTAGTTATGTCTGCTATTATGACATTTTTCTTTGTTCAATTTAATTTCTTAGAAATTACTGTCCCTGGACGAGTAAGTAAAAAATATAATATTATTAATTTATGTAATTTTAAATGTTGTCCCTTTGTATTTAATAATTATTTTGTTTTAGTTTTTGTTCATTGGTGGTTTGTACAGTGTCCTTGGAACTATGTTTTTGTTCATACACTTTTTTGACGCTGAAAAAGAAAAAAGTATACAATGACTGATATCGATAAATGATTTATTTGTTGATATACGATATACATCATTGCCTCAAGTATTTTTTATAGTTATTACTGGTTGATATGAATTCATACACACAATTATGAAAATAAAAGCCACACCTATGGCTCTTAAATAATTATTCTAATTGTATTGTCTGTCTTCAGTATAACCTTTTTAAATGAGTCATGAATTATTTTTTTTTACAATTAATACATAATTTTAAATTATTTATTAAAAATTATTTTGATTTTATGTATAAACTAATAAATGATTTCAAACAACAAACCATTCTTTTCAAAGAAATTAACAATATGTAAAAAAGAAGCATTGGAACAAATATATTGTGTATACTCTATTCCAAATAAGTTTGGAAAAGCTGTGAAGCATCGGCACTGCATAAACTGTTAAACACGTTTCCGCTGGTATTTCTTCTTTCCAGACTTATTTGGAATAGAGTTTAGGTATTAGGTACCTTTATAATATGTAGATGCACAATTTAGTTTCAATAACTAATTATTAGGTAAAAATATTATTTACTAATTACCTTTTATTTTTTTATTCCTTAAAATTTAAATTAACTTACCTTATTGCTTTTTGAGGCTCCAGAATTTGTGGCTATATAATTGAATCTGAGACACCTTTTTTATGTTTAACTGAGTCCTAGGTTTAAAAATGTGTATGGAGTTTCCCAAAAATCACATTTTCATTTCGCTTTTATAGCGTTAGAATTGTCGTATTAACAGGCATGGTAAAAAATGTGTTCTTTTGTTTTTAATAATTATTTTAATTCGCAATTTTGTGCATAATAATAATAAAAAAGTATTTATTATAATATACCAAGTATAGTCAAATTTTAATTTTAATTTATCTTATTTCAAAAAAACACATACAATAATTTAAGAAGCAAGTCCATTGTTGAGTATCGTTTATACCGTTTACTAGAAAAATTGTCTTGTTTCGTTCACTTGTCATTGCATCCATTATATTGTGACCTCAACATTACTCATTAGTTATTACTGTTATTATTTATACAAACTTGAACTTCAACTGGTAACTAGTCGCCATAGTCATCGGGATAATTTTTTTTTGATAATCGATAAACGGATAATATAGTGCAATAATCTTGGTGGTCATAAGGTCTTTCTAAACACTATTAGCATACCAGTAATCGATAATCACTTATTGGTGAATATACAAAGTACGCATTTAATGTAGTCTTTTCCTTTTTATACATAGGAATTGTCAATATTTAATTTTTTCAAAAAATAAAATGATATTACCTATTACTCAGGACTCAATTGACCTAGCCACAATATTCACCCAATTATTTGCGACTCATTTTAACACTCCCGCAGAGTTTTATATAGTGTATCAGGTATGCAGTAGAAACTTGATTAGTATATGTAATAACAATAACTAATAACTAATTGGAGCCACACCTAGTTCAGAAACATGAAAGTTCAGATAGTACTGTCAATTTTTTCGAATAGTTAATGCCTACCTAGTCCTACTATATTATTAAGTAGGCACTTGCATATATGATACATTATTCATATTACATATTATAGGTATTGATATTTAGGTAATATGTTTATACAAAACTTGAAAAAACATATATAATATTATATGATATATTGATGTTATCTATAATTAAGTAGGAACTTACCTTTTTTTTTTAATTTACCATTTATTTTTACAATAAGTACGAGACGTGATATAGGTTTATAAGACTTAAATGAACAATATTTCAGATTTTCAGACAGTTATTGTGTGAAGTGGCCATCTATTGATGGAATTTCATGAAATTTAAAAGTGGGAGTTACCTAGTCAATTAGTAGATCAGTAGATCACGACACCAATTTCGTTTTAGTCACTCGTCTTCTGGGGTTACCAGGAGGCAAGAAAAATGGTAACAGATAGTTATGAGATCAAGGGGTCACGGTGATTTTAGGAGATTGGAATGCATGTGGTTGTAGAAAATCTTAATGACATATTTTACTGCTTGAGTAGATAGATCTTTATGGAGAGTATCATTTGAGACGTAGCACGGGTACCTACCTACCTATTAATATTATTCATAAAGAATTTAGAATTATAAACATAATTTTATAATATACAATGTAGGTATGTCATGGCAACTTGTTCGAGCATATTATAATGCGTATTGACGTTCGGATAATCGACATTCTATTGTAGTTATTAACTTAGTATTAACTCTTCTTGTTGTTTCTTATACGATAAAATTCTGATAAATTGTGTTTCACTATTACTTTTTATCTGTATTCCACAGGTTAGTGACATTTAAGTGATAAACTTTTGGGATTTTGTCACCCAGGGACTATGACGTAATATGGTTAAATATTTAATAAAAACAAAAAATTAATAATTTTATAAATTTAATACAAATGTAATTAAAAAAACAAGGTACCTATTGAAACGAATTTAACCTATCTGCAGGTATTTTCAACTAAAATAATATAAGTAGGTAGGTACCTATTAAATACAGTCTATTGAGTATAGTTAGCGGATGATTGATGAGTTACATCTCACATGTTTAATAGATAGGTAGGTGGTATCTATTTAAATTTTAAATTGTATGTAATAGGCACTAACCTAAGGTACATTAATCTTCAACTGTTGGTTGTCGGCAACTTAATTGCTTAATATAATATTGATCAATAAGTGAGTTGGTATAGTTTATCAGAGTAAAATATGATATTGCACATTAATATATTTTTTTCAAGAATACGTTATCATCAAAACATATTCATTGTTCCCTGTACGGTAGGTTATTACCCATAATGCTGTAAATAATGTAAATAATAATAATTATGATTCACTACAGTTAAGTAGTCAGTTGTAGGCTCCTACCTACTTCATAACATACAATTTATTAATTTAAATTTCAGTTCGTATGGTGCCTACTATGGTACCTAGTACAGTAGTACCTACCTATAGGATCAATCCATATCATTTGTTTTCTATATAAGTATAAGTAGGCACCTACCTACTGAAGTCTAAACCGAACACCATTGTGTTGCGCGTCGTAGCCCGATATTTAGCAATATCCAATAGTAGGTATAATAAGCACATTAGGTAGATACCTACTTCGAAAAATAAAATATTATATTGAGCTTATTAAAAAAATGAGCTTTTAATAATTTGTTCACGTTTTTAGCGATGGAAAGCTGGAAAATAATTACGTTTAATGTCGCCGTATATATGTTTTTATTTGAAATACGACCTCTTGAAACATATTTAACTGCCTATCTTACTGGACCAGATGGAAACGTTTCGCTTTCAGAGGTAATTATTATTATTTATGTAAATTATTATACCTACCTAAATTTTAATGTGTACCGTGATTAAAGCTGAAACTTACAATTGGTAACTTAGCACTAGAAAATATAAAATCATTTTATCAACATAAATCGAATTACACTTTAAAAAGTCAACAATTTGAAAATCTATAAACATCTAAGCAGTGATGTAAAAAATACTTACTTTTAAAAAGTATTTAAGTAATTACTTAAATACTTTTAAAATAAAGTATTTAAAATACCACCCAAATACTATAAATAGTAAAGTATTTGAGTACTCAAATACTTTTCAGAAGTATTTGAAATAATCTTCAAATATAAAAAAAAATCTCTTTACTTCTGAAATAATTTGTTATAGTAAAAAAATTGTTTATTACATTTTATAAACATGATTTGTTCAATAATCAAAAAACTAATCATTCATGTTAGTTCTTTTTTAGTGATAGTTGCTCCACAACAATGAACTTTTTTCCACATAGTTATATATTTTCAAAGCTATATTATGTATTTGGCTATCCCATACCGTCATCGATCTTCGTCGACGATAAACGATAATGATAATTGATAACCATTTTCTTGGTAAATAGGTACTAATAATTAGTAATAATATTTTCGCATTCCGAAATGATAAGTAGTTTTAAATCAAATCATAGCCTTATTTATATCGGACGTTAAACTATTTCCTGGAGAAAAAAACATTTAATCGACAAAAACCTATATCAAATAGTCCATAAATGATAAATATATAACGTCGAAGCATAACCACGATTATTATATTACTATATTATAAGCAACATGGTATGATCGTAAAATTCCAGATTTGGATCAAGTTCACGCATACGTCACTTACTTATCCATATTATATTGTCATTCAATTATTACTACTATAGGTACATTACGCTTCGTCACGTGCTTACCGAAGGATCTGACCGTCAAAAAGTTATGATCATACATTGTTGTTTATATCATGACCACGATGGCACGGTATTTTTATTTGAAAAGAATTATAAATTAAAACAAATTAAGAATTTAAATATCAAAAAAAGTAGGTATTCAATAAAATAGTATTCAATAGTAAAAAAAAGTATTTAAAATACCATTCAAATACTTCAAAATAAAAAGTATTTCAATATGGAAAAAAGTATGTATTTGAATACTTTTACTCAAATACTTTATAACACTGCATCTAAGGCCAAATCTATCAATAGAACAAAATATTTTGTATATTTATTACCTGTATGCCAGTATCATGTTTAGGAAAAACGAAAATGCTTCTTTAAAATTATGTTAAAAATGTTAGATCCCTATGGCAATTTATTTTTGTATAACTGCCGTAAAATCTGACTTTGTTGTAACTAGTGTTGGGGAAAATATTACGTTTTTTCATATTTTGTTTTAGTTTTTCCCTCTTATTTTGAAAAATACCTACTGGAACTTCTTACCTCCCCAGGTACCAATTGCATTCAATGTGCCACTGAAGAACCTCAATATTAAAAATAACAATATTAGTTAATCTTTTACAAAAAGTAACATCGTATAAAATAAAAATAATTTTCATTGTAAAAACCGTAAGCAATCGTTCCGTTCAAAATCCAAAACCTGTAGAAATTTGTTGACGGAATTTGTCAAGGAAAAAACCATGAAATACATTTCCAAATTTTTATATTTTTTCTTTATTGAGCACACACATTTTTTATTTAACCAATCTTTTAATATAAAGATGTAAATGCACTTGTTTAACATATTACTTTTTCAATGTTCTTGTACACTAGGTAGGTAATTACTTATTAAAAACCAATTAATTAGGTAATTACCTACCAATTTCATCATTATTGAAGTGCATATTATTAATTATTATAATATCGATGATTTGAGCATTAAGTCAACCTTTTTTAGTATTTGTACTTAAATATAGTTATTACATTTTTATTTTTAAATATTGGATATGTTTGATAACTTAAATAACTTTTACATAAAATATAATAAATTGGTTTCTACAGTAATGATGGCTGAGTGTACCTAATTCTGAATTCAAATTTATATTTTAATTAATTTGATTCATTTCTAAGAGTATAGATACAGACCAGATGTACAATAATTATTATGAACTTAATCATTTTTTCATTTAAATAACCGTGAGTAATATAATCCAAGAAATACTGATTAAATATTAAATAATAAATTATTATAACACTCATCAAAAAATATTCAAATATCATTATAAAACTATTTACTGGTTTTTCAAAAATATTTATCAATAAAATCACAGATATGTGCAGGTTACATGTACTTAATATAGTTAATATAGTTTTAAATAGGTATAATAATAACTAAATAGTGTACGGTATAGCTTATTAATTTTTTCTTATTTTATCATGTGAACAAATTATTTACCACGTTATTAATACAGCTTGATAGTTAATTTTTGAAAACATTTTTTTTAGATAGATTATTTTAAGTCATTACAAAATTATTTATTTTTACCATGTTTTATAAAAATAAATTAAAAACATTTCAATAGGTATTTGTCAAAACACAATTTTTAATAATATAGATATTGACTATATTTTATTATATAGTTACTATAATATATTTCTTAGATAAATATTATGCTACTGAATATGAAAGAAAATGTGGGTAGGTCGTACCTATGTGGCTGTTATTCAAAAACTAAGAACTTAAAAAATAATAACTTTAAAAATTGTACAAACAATTTTTTTTTGAAAACGTTGTTTTGTAAAATATTATACTTCATAAAAAAATAATATTTCCAAAAACGCTAATACTTGTAAGCATATTTGATAAATGACTTATTTGTAGTCAATTTTTAGTTACTGCTGATATTATATATACATACAAATATAAACTATACAGAAGAACATGATTATAAATTATTATTTATTACCTATAGTTGTTTTGAATGATACCTACTTAATATTGGTTGGTAACAATAAACGAACAAAAAACTATCTTTCATAACTTTAACAATTGTAACACTAATCAAAAATTAGGTAATGAGTCTTCGATTTTCAGTTAGACGCGCGTCTTCATATAAATTAATTAAAAATACGAAAAATAATTCATTAAATTATATTATTATAGATACCAGGTGAAAAATCAAGCCTGGGCAAATTAATCATCATTTTTAACAGATTCAGGTTAAGTTGATATAAAATATTTTAAAAAGTTTAAAGTTTATAGTTTTCCTAATTTTTTTGAACTCAGTTAAGTTAAAAGTTATACTGAAACTTACTATTAACTTATAGTTTTTATTTTTTTAATTTAAAATTTACAATCTATAAACAAGTTAATATTATAATAAGTAAATGTGTTGATACTTACTAGACGTGAACATGAGCGAAGGGAGTGTCCAGTGACACTACTTCCAAACTTATAGAGTTAAGTTATTATTTTTTTTTTTTTTAATACATAAATAGCCAGTTAAATGTTTTATAATAATACAAATTAAATGTTTATGCAATATTCATTATCAATAAGAATAATTTTAATATATTTTAAAATTATTCATAAATTAAAGTATAATTTTGATTTGATTAAAATTTAAAAGTGCCTTGTTATTTATTAAGTTTATATCAATAAAAACGAATTGGGTTAAAAATGAAGTTAATGAAAATTAAATTAAAAAAGAGTTAAATTCAAAATAACTTAACTTAATTTTTTTAACTCGGTTATGTCTCATGAATAGGTGATCTATTTAAGTGTCTACACTGAATATTTCGAAAAGTTGTAACTTTTTTGAAAATATTCTTTTTATATAATTTAATTTCACTTTAAAAAATCATGCATTTTTAATAATACCTACCCCAGATTTTTGAAAATATATACATATGTTAAAAATCTAATAATTTTTTGCCTTTTGGGATAGTAGGTTAGGTACATAGGTATCTATATGTTTAGGTTTACTACACATGCAATCCCTATCTATATAAGTACCTATGTTTCAGGTCCTATTATGTACCTACCTATGGGCTATGTTATATACATCATACATGCGGTCTTTTGTGAGCTTAGTTAATTATATTTAATGAAAATGAATTGTTCTTTTATCAGGTACCTACTTCAGCTATGTATATATATTTCAAAGCATCGATTTAGTTTAAATGTTATGCTGTGAATAGAGTAATCAATATCTTAAATTGGTTTTAAAAATTAATTCTCACATTTTGTTATTGCTAAATGTATTAAATACTTTATAGCTCGATTATATTTAATTATGTTTTAGTAGTTCATATTTATATTTGTGTGTAATAGTAATTATTTGCAATTACATAATATAGGTGTACAACAATGTAACCTCGTATGAATTGTTATATAAATATTAAATAGTTTACATATTTTATAACATTATAATAATTGTAACAACAAATATTTCTAATCAAACGGCCATGATCAAATGACCTACTATTGCCACATAATTACACTGCAATTAATTTCTTTTTAGTCTAAGTTTTTGTACAATTTTTAAAACTAATTAAAAATATTTTTGTATAATGATACTATAATATACTATTTAAATTTTTTAAAAAAAGTTAACTTTTTTAAAAAGTTAAAATTATTTATTATCAAATGTAATTAAATTATTAGTAAAATTGTTATTTATTATTATTCATTATAGCTATTAACATATTGAGGCACTTCAAACCGTACAGTTTCCGCGAACATTTGAAATTACTGTTTTAATTTTTAAAAAAAAGTTTGATTCCCGTTTTTGCCAATCTACCTGTTGTATATGGAGAAATTATTATAATATATACCATATTTTTGGGAAAAAAGGAAAATCTTCATGGTTCATAACTCAGAACACACTCACATACTTATACATACCTATTATATATACCATAAATTACATATAACTTAAATATGGAATCGTCGTACATAAATTGATAGTGTCGAAATTAAAAGAGGTACAGACTTTACTACGGATTTTATTTGAGTTATTAGTAATTATAATATTTTTAAATATTTAATGTTGTCATATAATCTACCTATGTTCAATTATTTCGAGTTGAAACTTCAATTTATACCTTTAAAATAATATTGATGATATTTAAATAATATGAAATATATTATAATAATTTTACCATAGCACGTAGATAGACGGAAACAGGCGATGGTGGAAACGGGTAGTTCCGGTTTAGCTTTACGTCTTACCCATAGAAATATATAGTAGTAGACTGTAGTGATAAGAAAATGGAACATAATATATTTGCAACTTTGATTGATGAACAATGAACATGTTAAATCAAATAATCGATTGTGTAATGACAGGATATAAATATTTTAACGCAAAAACATTAAATTATAAAATAATAAACACTAATACGCTATTGTTTATATATCCTTGAAAAGTTGTGTAGGTACAAATTATATTTATTAGATAATGAGATATTTATTGCCCATTAAAATTGTATAAATAATTTACTATTTTTGTTGATCAATTAGTTTTCAGATAGTTAAAGAAACTAGGTAAAATAATATTCTTCCTGTTTAGGTATTTACATTAGGTATTGTAAGTAGGTACTTATTGAAATGTATTGTTTGATACAAATAGTTTGTCTTTGTGTACCAATCATCATAGTAAGTTATCCGTATCATTATACTTACTGATAACCTAGGTAGGTATTGGGGTTACTAATAAATACATATTAAATTGAAATATTCAATTTATTCTGATATAACTTTGACTCTAATCTTAATAACTTACCAATATAAGTGGTATAAAATAAATAAACAATAAAATATCAAAGTCCGCCCGTTTAATAGAAATACAAATAATATTTTAAAAATGTAGGTACCTAATTTATACCTATAAGCATATTTAAACAATTAAATTATATTTCGATAAAGAGCCTATGTGTAGTAAAATATACCTAACGTAGTAACATATACAGGGTTTCCAGTGAGGATTTACCCATATAGTGATATCTCATGAAATAATGGAAGTATCATAGTTCTAGGTTTTTGATAATACTCGCCGGGACAAGAACTACAAATATTTTATTTTTTTATTAATTTTAATATTTTGGTAAAAAAGTTAAAAAATTTATTTTTTCATTTAGTTATTTTCAAAAAAATTGAAGATTTTTAATATTTTTTCCAGCTTCAAGAAAAATTGGAAATTATTTAATACCATAGTGTTATTAAACATGTAGCGCGTGCTCTTGCGGCCTTCGCACGCTTTCAATGTGGCCCATAATTTTTCTCAAAAGTAGAAAAAATATTAAAAATCAGGAGACAAATGAAAATAAAATGTCAATACTTCAACATTTTCAGAAAAATGAACTCTACAAAATTGATATCTTCAATTTTTTTTGAAAATAATTAAATAAAAAAATATATTTTTTAACTTTTTTACCAAAACATTAAGATTAATTAAAACATGACATATTTGTAGCTCTCATCTCTGTGAATCTTAATAAAAACCATAACTATATTTCCATTATTTTAGGAGAGTAAAATCATTACGGGATATCTTGTATTACCTTTACTGAATACATGTCAGGTATCAAAATAATAATTTTAAAATTAAGAGGATGCCACACTCGCATGTGTTGTCGCAGTCTTACAAACGAGTAACATACCAAATTTACGCTCAGAAGTTCAAGTTTTATGCTGTTAGCTTAAAAATTAGAGTGAATCGACCTATTATGAAACTTTATGTTAAGAACTTTCTCTATGTTTTGTTGGAAGTTTTTTTACAATAATTCAGTTTTTAAGTGAGTTATGAGCATTTTTAATTTACATTTATTATACAAGCATACCTCGCTTAAAAACTGAATTGTCGTAAAAAAACTTCCAACAAAACACAGATAAAGTTCTTATCATCAAGTTTCATAATAGGTCGATTTATACTCTAATTTTTAAGCTAACGGCATAAAACGTGAACTGCTGAGCGTAAATTTGGTATGTTAAGCGTTTGTAAGACGGAAACAACACATGCGGGTGTGGCGTCCTCTTAAAGGAATATCACGTTTTAACAAACTTGTTAAATATTGCTTTGCTCGCAATAGGTACATACTATTGCACCCGTTGGCTATTGACTGTTTTACACACTTACCGCTTATGTTTGATAATTATACAACGATAATATTACCATACTGTCTTTTATACTAGGTGGCTAACACGATGGAGTCAATCAGATCGTATTCAGCCCTCACTGCAACTGTAATAATGTTAGCCGTTTCCGAATACTTTTACAAACCGGCCATCATAGCCTTCACTGCTTGTTCATTTATCGCTTACATCCTCATGTCAGGTTCACCGAGCTTGACACATTTGCGGGTTAGTATCTTTACTAATTGGAAATAAGTATTTTGTGTACAACATAATATGGTAGGTACCTACATTATAGTACCTATACTCGGCAATTGTTATAGATAATACGAAAAACGTAGATTTGTGTGTGTATTAGAGACGTTGTCATTTGTCATTAGTGTTCCCTAACAACAACAATTAAATAATACTACTTTTATATCTACTACAGGTCGGTGTGGCTGGCATAGGTGCAACAAATAACGCCTACATATTAGGCTTCAGTTATTTGTACAGTCAAATCAGTGACAGGCAACAGTATCAAAAGGCGACCAGTATTGTCTCAGCTAGCTTACAGCTAGGCATTTTCTGCGGTTCTGTACTTTCGCAAATAATCGTCAGCACTTCTGGAGGAATTTATACAATTCTACCATATTGCAATGCATCGGGTAAATATTAGTCCGTAGTTTTATACCTACCATTTTATTTACCTAGTCGAGTTCATGTTGTAATTAATTTTTAAAATACATAATATTCTACATTATAATATACTTGTCTTATATTAATCACTAATAATATTTAATGAATGAACATAGATGATCTCTGCTAATATTTAACTTATTTAGTGGCCCTTGATTGGTTCTTATTGAATTGTATTGAACCATTACATGATCAATTGTTTAGGTAAATTGGCATTCGTCTCCTACTTTTTGCCAATTGCCGTGCATAGTGCACACATGTGGGGCTAAGAGTACAGGAAAACAAAGAATCATCCAGAAAAACGGAAAAATTGGAACTTCGTGTTGACAGAACCATTATTATTGTAGAGCAGGTTATACCTATGGGGGCAGTGGTATATTTTTAAATAAAATAAACTGTCATTTAGTAACCAGTGGCCAGTAAATAACCTCGGTCACTAGTTGTAGTTTCCATTTAGGCGTTTTACAGAAAAATGGTTGGCAGTGTTAGGTTAATGTATACCAACAAATGGGCACCATCTTTCGGACATTAATTTCAAGACGTAATATTTTTAATTATTAGTTACTTAATGTCATATAATGTAGTTTCTTTTTTCTATAAAACAATTTTGTAAATACATTTTCAATATTTCATATTTTCCCGCTTTGTTTATAATGAAAACCTTTTTACTTGTTTTCAGCTATGTTCTTAGCTGTAATTTGCGCTTGTTTATTTCCGGCGAAAAAAAAGCATTCTTTTCGACTGGAGAATGTGCTTAATGAAAATACCAGACTTCTCGAAAAGGGCTTTAAAAATAAAACAGAAATTCGTGAAAAAGATATCGTAGGTAATCGTAATGTATAAAAAACCAGTGTTCATATAATAAACACAAATTAGTTTAAGGAAAATACACTAGATAATGGTGCCTCACTAAATTCTGCAACTATTATTTCAATATTTGTGTTTTTTGTTTTTTTGCTTAGCTCATAATACAATCTATTAAGTACAATAATTCAGTGAAAAATACCATCAAAGGATTACTGTTCGACTTTAAAACTTCATATTCGAATAAGGTTGTTCTAAAACGCTCAATTTGGTACATAATCAGTATGGGATCACATTTTCAGGTATTTAAGTACCTAATCGTATTAACCGGTGTTTCCGAATTGCGTGTGAATATCATTATTTAGGATAAATTGAGTGCGCGATTTTCTCGCGACAGAACTGAGTTGCGCCAAGAGCTACGCATTTTGATGTAAACGTCAGTTTGTACATTTTTTACAACTTCAAAAAATTTAAAAATGTTTGGATGCGGAGAGTAGAACATACTATTGAGTTTCGGACGAAACGATTCACAAGCATTAGTAGTACGCATTAAACTGTTAAAAAACTCCGCCCATATTGATGTTGGAAATTTACTGCTTTGTAAAATATTTTTTTTCAAAAGAGTCACAAAAAGCATTTAATTGCTGATTATTTAGTTTTGTAGTCATGAGATCTTCAAAAAACATTTTTGAACTTCCTAAGGGTTTAAAACTTTAAAAAGGATAATCCAAAGCATACTTTTAAAAATTTTCCAATTTCTGATTTCTTTTTGAAGTTTTTACTTAGGCCAAGTGATTGGATTTTTCTCCACATAGTCTGGCCCAAGTGAAAGCGACAGCCTTTACGAACTACTTCGGGAAAAATCTCTTAAATTGCCAAGTGAATAGCTTGTTCGAAATCAGCGTAAATTATACGTGGTGTAAAAGTCAAATTTAATTCACCAGTTTTATCTAACAAATCAGAAAATGCATCTTTATATATTTTTGTAGTTTTGCCTGTTAATAAAAAAAATACTAGCGGGGTATAATTTGAATTTTTTGCTCCATGGATAATAAATGATTGATAAAATGGTTTAAGACAACTTTTAAGCACATTCAGTTAAATATTTCAAATTAGTTTGTGTTGAAAAAGCTATTATCTTTTTTTCTGAATTATTCATTAACAAAAATAATTCATCTCGATTTGTTTTGATTTCACCTAAATTTGTTAGAGCCAAATGTAGTTCATCTAAATTTGTGGGCAACTTTGGAATCATACTCGAACGTACTAGTGAATATTTTTTCTTATACGCATCGTGTCTGTAGTAGTTTAGTAGTTAGACTACTTATATCTATTTCACATAATTCTCGGTGTAAAATCTTACATGGCTTTTCAAACGGATCCTCCAAAGTTGTATGTTTTAATTTATTACTTACTTTTTGTCGAGTTAAAATATTGACATCGTCTTTTTTGTGGTCGTGATTTAATACACTAAAATTAATTTCACTATTTTCATTTAATTTAAAAAATGATTTAATATCATTATTTAAATATTTGTTAAAATGAAATTTATAGCCATCAATTAAATAATATAGTTTTTTTAATTTTTTTCGCTAAACATATCACAAATTTCCATTTTTTTTTTTGTCGTTAGATCAGTCTGGCTGCTAACTAATAACTATTAACTGATTGTCGAAAATTACAAATTGTATATATTATATTGTTACATACTTATCAAATTATAATCATTTCTAATCGCTATTCACTAATTTAATCTCATTCCTCGGAGAAAACCCATATTACTATCGAATTCACTATAACCCATAACACTACTAAATATTACTATATTACATTTACTACAGTATAAACTCAAATGATCGCTGAAAACCGGTCGTCTATTTAAACTTGTACGCTTGCAATTCGAATCTGTCACGAAAAATACGCGCACTCAATTCGGTTGTCAACCAACATCGCTTTTTTTGGCACGCAATTCGGATGCAGCCGTATTATTGTATTAACATATTATCGCTGAATATACTAATTTACTAAGAATTAGGATGCATTAATAAATATAATTCAAAAACTGCAGTAGATATTATAAAATACTAATAATAATTTATTTTTTATCATTATTAAAATAGTCCGTAATCAATGCAAAAATAACTTTATACTAGTAGTAAATAATAAACAATACAAAAATAAATAAATTACAAAAAAAAATGTATAAGAGGCAGTATACCTATGGATTGGTTACCTTACATCCCCCGGCCTCTTCCCTATTAGCAAAGCATTTATATTTACTTAAAATGTAAAGATAACACAGTTGTTTTATTTAAGATGTCTGATACTTAATATTTAATTGTAGATAGAAAAAAATGAAAGGTTCTTATACCTAGGTATTATTAAAATAGGTATCATAATTTATAACTCATAAACTGTTATAAAATGAAGTATGTATCTGTATATTAGTATTCCGCATTTTCACGTCGTGGTATACTCGTACAATTACATAGGTACCTATTTTCATATTATAAACTTATAAGTTTGTATTTATACCAAAATAGGAAAATTATATATTACCTTTTATTGATATTATATTGTATTGTAGATCTTAACTAACATGAATGTATTATACACGTACATCGTTAATAGACCAGGTAATCATGATGTCTTGTTAAATGGATACGCGGAGGCAACAATTAGTTTGTGTGGTTTGTAATTTTTTATTTTTATTTTTAATAATCAGCATAATAATATATTGTAATAAATAATAATGTAAAAGACGTATGTAACGGTCTTACGGATAGAGTATGAAATTGCACGGTAGTATGTATAATGCGCCTAGTTTTTTTTTTTCATTTCAAGTAGAAAAAAACTGGGAAAGTCGCTCTGCTCTAGGTACCTATATTATATTGGCTGTTGTGGGTTTAGAATTTAGAGTGTACTTATTACCTCATTGGGTAGTCACGTAGATACCTAACCATTTCGCACGGTTGTGTGTTTCCGAGTAGAAACGATGTGTCAGCCTCTATTTCAAGAGATAAGGAATATTTTAGGAAGGATATCTTAGACTTTATTTATGCTATTACATAATATACATTGATTTATTTTTCTAGAAATATTGCCGTAAATTGAATAATGTTTGCATATACATGGCATAAACATCGCATATTGTATTATTCAAAATTGTTTTTTATTATAATATTATATCATATCTACTTATAATATTATTGTCATTAACTCACTTATAAATCAATACGAATGAATCGTATAAACATTGTAAATAAAATCGTGGTTTAAATAGCTTAAATTAGTATTTTGAAAACTTAACTGTGCATAGAAAATAATAATTAACTCGATGGTGAAAAGTTTTAATTCCTTACAGTTAATATTTTTTTTTAAATTGTTATTTTTGTTATTTTTTCGGGTTTTGTCTAAATTAGATCTACAAATACTTAAAATATTGTAATTTTTAATTGCTGTAAAAATAACTGTCGTGAGACATTTTTAAAATTAATTTTCATTAATTTTTACTCATAAACAAACATTAATCATACGGAATTAAAAATAGTCGATATTTTAAAATGTTTATAAATAAACTCTAAAATAGCAAAAGTGTATTGAAAATTATATCACGACGTCTAGAAAATTGTAATATAAATATTTGGGTAAAATATTAAGTCTTTAAGTTTGTTCACTTTCGAGTTTCAAGAAACTATACATTTTTTACTCCCCTCCTACACAAGTATCAACTAGATCTAATTTCCTATAAAAATCACATTAAAAATTGAAAATCAAAACATTTTTACTCCCGAAGTCACAAACAAAAAATCACACAATATATCATTGAAAACCGATACCCATTCATTTCTTCACTTAGAATCTAAAATATCCATAAGTATCCAGATGTATTGTGTATTTAACGTTTATTCTGTCTATTTACCTATTATTTATTTTTTTAAATTCATTTTCTAATATTAAAATATTGCGTTTACAGGAGCTGTGGGTGCCTATCTAATTGGAAAACTGCAATTAGATTGGGTCTATTATGGCGATGCTGTTACGGCAGTTTGCTCTTCATTCATGGGCATTCTTATGATGTCATGTTATTATCACGACCATTTGTTTTTGATATATTTATCGTATATTTTGTACGGTATAGTTAGTCAAATGGTATTTGTTTCAAATTTGTAAGTATACAATCTTTCGGCGCACTTTTAAAACAAAAGAAAATAGTTAGGTATCATAATTAATTCTAAAGGTTGACACGCTCAATACTCATCTATAATTACCTACTAAATATATTTTTTTCTTCAAGCTCCGAAATTGCGAAACGACTGAAGAATCATTGTTATTCTCTCGTTTATGGATTTAATTTATTTGGGTCTTTGTTAATATCCGCCTTCATGACAATATTTTTCGTCCAAATGAATTTCTTCGATATTACTATTCCCGGAAGGGTAAGTTCAAACTTTTCTATTATGCTACGTCATATACATCAATATATCAATAGTATACATATTAGTATATTACCCTTTATTATAACACAATATTTTTACCATTATTTTTTTTTCAGTTTTTGTTCATTGGTGGTTTAGATGTCTCTCTTGGAGTGGGATTCTTTGTTTTATCTTACCTCAAAATGACTAATCCTCGATGATGAACTACACTATTTGACGTTTGTCTATGTTATAATTTGGATCGTTGTGTTTAATAATATTGTTAAATGAAGAAGTGTATTCAATACCATAAAGTATATTGTAATTCATGGTAAAACATTATAGTTGTAGGTACTTATACGGCTATATCTATTAATGATTTACATAAATTCAATTAATATTTTACTCATAAGTTAGTATGATATAGTACTATCTTCATAATAATATGAGTAAAAAGAACTGCTTTTAACTTATTTATGTATTCTATGTGAATTGTGAAAAAATAAAAGAACTTGAATTATTTTGATAATATTAGTTATCTACATTTTGAAAGATGGTCGCATTAAATGTGACAATAAAAATCTGTCAGAACCAGAAGCTTTTAATTTTTAATTAATTTATATCAGCCATGCCATTTCAACTATGGCAAAGAATACCTATACCCAAATTCTTATAGTTTCTTTAGCGGAAAATTTTTTTAAATCTTTACAGTATACACGGCGAGTATAACTTTTAAAAATATGTCTAAAAGTTGAATGCCCGTTCAAAAACGTTTGGGCGCTACAGCTACTGTTGGGTTGTGTTTATTATAGACATAATATTTTGTGTAAAAAATAATTTATCACCTAATATAAATATGTATATAAAGACTAAAAAGAGTAGTCTTTTTAAACAAGGAACCCACATAATTTTTTTCTAAAATGTTATTTTTGACAAATTTTTGATACCTACACATTCTGCCAGGCTTATCAAAAAGACAGTAACTCCAAAATATTAATTTTTGGGAAATCTTGTCTAAAATGTTGACAAATTTTTAAACTTGAAAATCATGAAACAGCTGCCCTTGAATACTATTCAATTTGGAATTGATGTTTAAAAATTATTATTTAATTTTTTTATAAATCTTTATTTCTTATACCTTATAATAGACTTATCCCTTTTCACTTTATGTATTTTAGTAGGTAGCTAAAACAAATTGAGTACACAAAAATGTTGGAGTTACTTCTTACATGATTATAGATGTTCACACAATAAATAAGGCTTAGGACTAAGAATGTAGTATCTACTTTTATTTATGGAGTTAAAAATATTAATTGTCTTAAAAGAACAGTATATAATATTTATATAACAATATGCAAGTAGGTAATATATATATTATTATGATAAAAAAATGTATCACTAATCAATACATTAATTAGTAACCTAACCTAACCTTTATGTCAAAAAAATATATATTATTATAAATTATTGTTAGTACATTGATAGCATCTAAATGTTTGATTGCAAAATTATTTATTTATTATCGAATCAAGTTATTTAACTATAATTAAATAGTTCTTTTAAAATAATCAATTACAGATTATATTTTATTGATCATTTATGGAGATAATGAATTTTGAATAGTGGCATATTAGAAGAAACAATAATGTATCTCCACTCAATAAGAAAAAAAAATGTTCCTGGCATCTCAGCCATGGATTTACTGCATTTTTGCTTCTAATTTGGATTTACTGCGTTTTGGTTACTTAAATCTACATAAATATGGAGTTATCACGTTTCTATTTATGTTTAAAAATTAATATAACAGATTTTAACATAGAATTTCGTAGTTTTTACTTCAAAAAATCTTACAAATCGGTTATAATTATATAAACTCCCAAGTAAGTACTAGGTACCATAATTTCTTAATGTCAAAAATTGAAGTTACTGTATTTTTGATAAACACGGCAGTATTGTATTTGAACTTTTTCATCTATGTCTGCTGGTAAAATATACTAAATACAATACTCCATAATTTTTTGCTTAAAAATTTTCAAATGGAAACTTATATTTTTAAAACATATTGGACGTTGGTGTACAAATAACAAATATTAAACGATTGACATTTATAATATTGATGAGCATTTATAATTAAGATTAAGCTTGACGGCTTATTAGTTATCACCACGATTAAAGATATTATGCATACTGCATAGCCATGGTTATTATACATTTTCGAGGTACCTTTTCACTTTATTCCTGTTATCTATAGTTGTGATTCATGATAATAATTTAAGAAAAACTATTTGTTTGATATTATATGAAATAATACAAATTTGTTATTAAAAAAAAATGTAAACACGCTTTAAGCTAATATATTATCATTTTTGTTGAAACAAATTGATCAATAAAAAAAGAAAAAAATAATAAAATAATAAAATAAAATTAATGTGCTTGAAAAAATATGGACAGGTTCCTTCAATGTCAAAAAAATAAAATTAAAAAAAGGAAGTTTCATTTGGAGTCATTCTGTATGCACCGATGAAGTTATAATCATACTTGGGAATGTTTTTCCGGGGTAGATAAATTAATTTTTTCTTGGCACTGTTTTATTTATGCAATTATAATAAAAAATACTGAACTATCTTATGAAGTTCTTAGGTTTGCATAATATATAGCTACTGAATATAATGTTGATAAAAGGTCAAAGGGCAATAGGCTCTCTTCACACTGCCAATAAATAGACCACTGATTAATTTACAATAATTTTATATTATATCATATTAAAAAAAAATGCTCTAAAATATGTTAGGAATTTTAAATGTTTGTACTTAAATATTTATATATTTTCTATATTGTAAGGAGGGTTTGAACTCCCTACCACTTGAGTAGTTATTGTGCAAATACTGAGAAGTGATATTTATAGTAGGGAATGGCAATGATCTATATTAGTTTGATAGTATGTGCGTTTATATACGGTCTATCTATATACTAAAGAGTAATAAATATTAATGTATTTTACACCAAATATATCTGAAGTCTATACGATTATTTAAATGCTGTCTACTAACTATACAAACTAATTTTTTTTTTTATCAAACAAATTAATATTAGTTATAGATTATCAAATTATATAATCAATGTACCTTGATATCGAGGAGTTGTTCTTGAAACTGATAAACTTGAAATTTGTTACATTTTGATCGTTAATGTGTTAGATTGTTGAGAACGCATTACAAATAAATAATACCTATATACGTTTCAGAAAAAGTAATAGATTTAATTTTTAATTTTAAAATAAAACAAAACTTGATAAAATTGTTAATAATGATAAAATAATGTTTTCAGTAATGAAAAAATGGGTAAAAACTTCATACATGGTTGCTATTTATTTGTTTTTACTCGAACTACGGCCACTAGAACCATTTATGACGGCTTATTTAATAGGACCAGACGCAGACTTGTCTCTTAACGAGGTAATGAAGTTATATATTTAACCATAGAACTATTGTTTTAATTCTAAACGTTTTTTTACTTTTTGTATTTTGTTTGAATTATAACACATACATATTATCTAGTTGACGGCTTTAATAGAGTAACTATACATAATAATGGCATTCGAATCATTCGATAATGAATATATGTCAGTATAACCATGTATACCAACTCTAGCTGTTAGAACTCAATTGTGGCCTAAGTACCTCTGAGTTTCCATTGTTAACCAAGTTTAATTTGATAGTTGATTTAGATAAAATAATCATAATTATTATTATTTGATAGTATGTAATGAGAAACTCAGTTTTTAATAAGTAGAATAAGCACCATTATTATATTATCATAATCAAAAACAATTTATGTAGGTACCTTAAAATTGTTTATTTTTTAAAGCAGAAAATAATCATATTATTAGGCATCTATCATGGAACATAATATAATAATGAGTCATAAACTCATAATGTTTGTGATAAAAAACAAATGTTATGAACATCATGTTTGTTAAAATAAGAATAATACTATTATTTGACTATTAGTATTTATAATAAATTATCGTTTATGGTGACCTGCCAAACGAAGCCATATCATATTATACACAGTAACTAGCAAGTGTCAGTAACCTTAAAGATTTATCATTTATTATGATTGATATGAGTGATTATTAATTACTATTATAGATTGGCTACTATTCCCTCTATTCAATAATCATACATTATATTTAATTATTAAAAAATATGATTATAACGGTCCACTTTGAATTTATAGATTTTATAACAAAAGAAGTAGATGAAGTTTAATTATTTATTTCCATTATGTCTTCAATTCTTCATAGGAGGTAATCATTTTTGCAAATTTTTTTTTCATAATATATTTATAAAAAAGACAAAAAAAAAAATTAAAAATGTAAAAATTATTATATTAGATATCTGATAATAGAAAAAAGAATAATAATTATATAACAGCAATAATTAGCTAATACGTACTCACTTCAAAATATGCCTATAATAGTATAATGCCTATAAATACATCGGGAAGTATAGAAGTCAACTGTTCCTTGAAAATAGTATATCTGCAGCTAAATCAGAAAAAAACATCAATAATTAAGATTCATCACATTAGGCCGGTTAAAATGCCCATTCCTTAGGACGTGGTTTTTCGTTTGGTGAAGTTAATAAATATTAATTATATCAACTATTTTTAATTTCGGTTATAGGTAGGTACAGGCCGCAAAAGAAACGTACAATGTGTACAAAACAAAATCAATAAATTGTTCAATCTTCATTAATAATTATTATAACAAAATGGTTTTATTTTCTTTCTTTCACATATTTTTATCATAGGGACCCATTATTTGCTGGGGTCCTGGGCCCGTGTGTTTGACACCCGGTTATTGATTGGTACACGTAGTCCGATTAAAATATGCTTATGGAACTCTCTTGAAGTTAAAAATCTTGAAGTGTCCAGAAATTATTAAAAAATCAATTGTAACATATTGATTGCTCCGCTCAGAATATACCTAATATATTATTGTGTTAAATTTTTACAGGTATCCACTGTGATTGAATACCTCAAAACATATTCATCGCTATTAATATCAGTGTTAATGTTCATGACTGCCGACTACCTTCTGTACAAGCCAAACATTATATTTTTGACTATCTGTCCATGTGTCGCCTATTTCCTCATGATTGGTTCACCCAGTCTTACGCAGCTGAGGGTTAGTACGATAAAGTATTCTATAGATAATAGTATACCTACCTAATAGATCACAATTATCAGTTTTGGTTTAATGATGCTCTATAATATTGTTTTTTTTATTTAATACCAAGTGTAGCTGTCCGCATGTGGTATCGGGGCAATATATAGCTGTAATATGATAGCATTCTGTTATTTGTACGCAAAAATTGAGGACGTAGACAAATTTCAGATGGCCACTGGTATTGTTTCTGCAGCTATACAACTTGGTAAAGTTGTTGGAGACTTCTCCGCACAAATCATAGTCTCCGCAACCGGAGGGATTTATACTCTCCTGCCATACTGCAACGTGTTCAGTAATTAGACGATTTATAAAAATATGTTATAAATATTATGTATAATTCTTCATATTCACAGACACGATACAAGATTAATAATTTAACTATTTGTAAACGTAAATTTGTTTTATAAATATTTATATTTCTAAATTATAGCCCTAGTTAATTTAAAATTAAAAATCCAAACCATGGAGTTTTAAAATGTATTGAATTGCGGAAAGTTTTATACTATATTCAAGTGTTTCCGTAATATATACAGGTAAATTCAATTTATTTGTTTCAAGGTTTGCTGTTAGCTACAATTTGGGTTTGTCTATTTCCATCGATCAAACAGAATAATGACAAGCAAAATTTAAAAGGGTTATGTGAAGATTCACCGCTTCTTAAACACCGTGTAGAGAGCAAAACGAAACATTTTGAACAAAATCAAAGTAAGTATTGATTCTTTAACTACATATAACCTCTGCTCCTCATTATAACTCACTGCATTTACTCACAGATTATGATATAATAATTTAGTTATCTTATTGTGTTACTCAAAGTTGAAAATGTAGATTTTTAACTGTTATACTTTGATACTTTCTTTTGTCTATAGTTACAATCGAGTATGATAATGAATTCAAACCAGTCCAATTTTTTTCGAAAGAAATATGGATCAACTTCAAATCTTCATATTCCAATCCAGTTGTACTAAAAAAAAGTTTATGGTATATAATGGGCATGGCAGCGTATATTCTGGTAAATAATGTTATAAAATGTATTGTGCTTAATTATTTTAGTGTTGATGGAAATAATATAGTATCCCAGCAAGTATAAACATAATAATACAAAATATGAGTTAGTATAGTTGCCGTAATTTTGTTTTTTTTTTTACTTTATTGTACTATATCTTTTATCCAACAGTGAACATTTGTATTATTAATACTGTTTATTATTAACAGAATATATTAAATTATTTTTATTTCATTTGTTTTTTTGTGGTACCTATCAGCTATAACTGGGTATTTATAATAAATAATGCTAGATTTTATGTATATTTATAGCGTGTAAAAAACGGGTTGTAATATAACTGTTATTTCTTCGGAATCGTATTGTTTATTGTTTGGTAAGTGTATATATTGTATTTAATGTTACAGGTCTTAGCTAACATTAACGTTTTGTACTCGTACGTGATTGAAAAACCAGGGAATCACGATGTCTTGTCAAATGGACTTGCTGAATCAATGGTTACGTTATGTGGTTAGTATTTCCCAATATTTTATAATCAAGTAATAATTATTGTTTATTGGAAAATAAATAATAATTTTTTTTTCTGAAATATAATTATAGATAATTCTTTAAATAAATTTTTCCCTATTTCCTTCCGTATTACAAATTCATATTAATATATTCTACAGGAGCAGCGGGTTCGTACCTAATTGGAAAAGTACAATGTGATTGGTCGCGCTATGGTGATATGTTCACTGCATTTTGCTCTGTTGCCATGGGAGCGCTGATAATGTCATGTTACTTTTATGATAAACTAATCTTTATATATTTGGCATACATATTATATGGTCTAATTTGTCAAATGCATTTTGTCATAGTCTAGTGAGTAAAATATATTTTTAATAAGTAGTATTATTAAGAAATAGGATACAGGGTGCTTACATATTCTAACTTTATATTATTATGTAAATATTTATTTTTCGGAAAGTTTAAAAAAACTATTTGATGCCGAATGTGCCTCGAAGCATCATTCTCTGGGTTGGAAATGCCAAATGATATACTGTTGATGTATTTAAATAATTACATTTTTTTGATATGTCTAAAAGTAAGTAAAATGTTACTATACTTTGAAAAGATAAGCAAGTAATATCAATATAAATGCTTGATGCAACGTATATTAATATAAATATCGCAATTTCACCAATAATTTCTTTTTATAATATCAGCTCTAGTTTATTTACTAGATTTATTTCGAACTCTATTAACAACCTGGATTGTATATTAAATAATTTCAGTGTATCATTTTTTTACTGTTTCAAAATTTATTTCTAGAAAATTTATTAAAATACATTATATTCTTAGTGGACATACTAATTGGGTTAGTGATATTCTTTTTTAAACATGTATGTACTAAGTATTCACAATTAATAAATGTTGTTTGTTTCTGTACTTATAGCACCGAAATTGCAAAACAGCTAAAGAGGCAGTGTTATTCTTTAGTTATAGAATTCAATTATTTTGGATCTTTGGCGGTGGTCACCATTTTAACATTCTTTTTGATTCAATATAATTTCATGTACATTACTATTCCTGGAAGAGTAAGTCAAAAACTTTATATTTAACATTATTATTTACATATTTTTTAAAAAAAATCAAATTAATTTTAGATACTTATTGCATATTGTGTATATGGTAGTACACATAACAGTAAATAACAGTAATTAACCTATTTCACCATAATATTTTTTTTGTTTCAGTTTTTGTTCATTGGTGGTTTGTATATCATGCTTGGTGTCGTATTCATGTTTATTTGTATACTCGATATTATAAAAAATAAAAAATTATACTGACTGTAATAGTAAGCGGTTTATTTTATTATTGCGATTTTAATTTGAAGTTTCAAGTTACGTAAACTATAAAGTTAATTTAGGTAATTAAGGTAATTTAAAAGATATACATGTATCTACTTTCATGGTTTTTAATAAAACATGGGTTTTGTTTATATATACCTAATAATCAATTAATAAAGTATACCCAACGAATAAAACGCTTGTCATGTAGAGACTATTTTATTGAAATATGGTAATAATAATTCTTCAAACAACATTGTATTTATTACCTAGATTTATAGGTATAATAAACATTATAACAATTATTTACTTAAAATTTGTACCTATAGGTAGTATAAGATCATTATTATTTAATTGGGTTTAATTACATATAACATGTATAGCGAATATACATAAATATTTTGAAGATGTATTGACCTTAAGTCCCAACACTCCCAACAAAGCTTAATTTTTTGAAGCCACATGATAATTTATTTCAATTGCATTAAAAATGGCTCAAAATATTATCCATTACCGAATTCGATTATCGGTAAGTAGCATAAACATTTAAAATCATTTTTGTCTGAATTGTTAAGACTTGCAAATTTATTTTGCTTACGAATAAACAGCACTTACCTTCTGTAAGAAAGGAGTGGCTTAAGTTATAAAAAATAGGATGAAAAATGTATTAGCTATTAATTGTATTTAATTGCAGTTTTTATGATATTATTTCTCCAATCAGTCCGGACGATAACTGCAGCGCCATTTATCGCCTTCGTTTTGAACCTTTCAACTCATCCGTGACTAGCTCACTTTAGCCGCTAGACAGTGCTGTCGTATAAGTTTTTGTTATAACATCATAATGTATTGTATTTTCATCTTCATCAAGGTTGTCGAAATACTAACTAGATAACATTTTCTACCAAAAACCACCCTTAAATATTAAATTTCAACATGATTTCCCTTCTCGGTTCCAAAATGTGATGACTAATTGGAAAAAAACAACAATTTTAAATTAAATATTTTCATAGCTACTCTCAGACTCTAAAATATAATTACAAACGTATTATTCAATTAAAATGTTTGAATAAAAATAAAACTAATGGATGAATTTGCAATGAATATTATAGTTAAGACACTTCGAACAACTACCTTAAATAAGTAGGTATTCATAGTAATATTAAACTATACCGATGGAAAATCAGAAAATTAAGTGGTTAATAGTCAATAAAGCTTTATATATATTATACAAAACTACCTACCTCTTAATCTTAACAATATCATATTGTTATTGTAATAAAATGAAATGTTACAGATTCAGGCATTGGTCGTCCTGAATAATTTTAATATTAAACATGGATCATCAAAGTGCTTTTTTTGTACCTATTTTTAAAATATTATATTGTCATCCAATTACCTTTATTGCCTATAGGTGTAAACTTCGTGCATAGCCGTTACTTGTGATTTTATCTGATAATAATATTACGTACCCAAGTAAAGTTACATTTTAAATAACATCTTTAATACTAAAACACGTTAATCTAACAAAATTTCTTTATTTTCTTAACAAAAATGAATCTGCATCATTGAACAATAAATCAACAAAACAATTAGCTCAATAAATCGTGATACATACATTGTTGTATATGCAGAATTATCATTAGTACATTGATAACCTTAACATATTATTTAAAATAACAAACTATTTAGATAAGTTAATATAAAAATATACATATCATTTTATTACACAATAATAAATTATACGACACAATAAATTAATAGAGTTATCGCTCTTTTATAATACACTGCAGTCATAAATTATGTTTGATTAACTATGTCGTTTATTGAACAGAAATATCTAATTTTAAACGTTGAGATTTATTTCAATTGTCTAATTTTCATAACATTGTTATTGTGATTTGTACGTAATAATGTATGGATTTCGAAATTTAGTTAAGCAGTGAGCACTTACGTATATTCGCCACACTCGGTACTTGAATATTTGTGTTCAATAAAAAATATTTTTATCGAAATAAAAAAAAAAGTATTCGTCAAAAATAGAATAAAAATATCATACTCATACGAGTATAAGTAGTGATTAGAGCTGTACGTTTTCATGAACATCTTGACATTTTTTGTCTTATATAGATTTTGAGATTATTTATTTTATACAGTTATAGACCATTTGTTAATTAAACACAAAACACATACCAACAATACAGTTTGTATATTATCACTATGGTTATTAATTATTATCATAATCATCACAGTTTTTGTTTTTATTACACTGAATACGTAGGTAATGTTACGAATTTTTAATACTTTTGCTACATACTCCAAAGTTGGAAACATGACCTACGTCTACCTCTACCAGTATTCATGTCCTTAATGTTTGCACAAAAAAAAAAAAAAAAATGGGAATATCTGAAAAATTTCAGTGTTTAAATTTTCAAGCTTACTGCAGTAGTGACTTTTAATTGTTCAATATTCCATCAAGTCTTATCACTTGATCATATTACAGGTTAACACGACGAGTTTAGTTTGAATATTCACATATTCAATAATTTTTATTTTCTAAACACTATGATTGCATTGTTTCACATTATTTTTAATGGTATAGTTTAACAATTTGTGATCTCACAATTTATATTATGTATGTATATTATATGTACAATGTACATGCTAGGCCACCACTGTTTTTTTACTGTTTTTTTTTGTGTTCAGAAGCCGCCATAAATTGTTTGTTAAAAGCCATTTTGCGTGGCAAGAATCACTTTGGCTTAGTTAAAAAACCAAATTTTTACCATAAAAAACGGAAGAACTTCGGCTGAGAAATATTGTTGTTATTTTTGGTAATCACTAATATGGAAAAGTTATAATTATTTTATAATCCGTTGTTTTCAGGTTTTTTAAACCAGAATAAACTGTATTTTAAAAATTATATGAAAAAAGATAAAAGTAATACTGCACATTTGAACAGTAAAAGTTCTTATACTTTTATGGTAAAATTTGGTTTCTTATCTATAATTATACCATTCTCTGTTCTATCTCATACAAAACAATTTGTGTGTATAATCTCGTATAATAATACTCATCAACAAATAAACTGACCACTGACAAATAATTTTGTCTTTGAATTAGTATTTACATATTGTATTTAATATAAAAACTTTTTTTTTTAATTGTCTACACTGAACTCCCTCAGAAGCATAGAACCTCAAAAATTCATTTCCTTTCTTAATCACCCCCGAAAACACAATAATATAATGTTATTACATGTTAGTTCACTTATAAGATCTGCCTGAATAAAAAATATTTCAACAGTATATATTAGCCTTAATACTCTTCTAGTTTTATTCTCTGAATACGTATAGTGGATAAGTATGTTCACATTTCTTTGTTTCTATAATCTTTTCGGGATTGTCTACTATGATTAGTAGGTACGATTTAATAGCAAGTAATTCTTGGGCTTACCTTAACGGTTTATCTGAAAATGGAAATGATTTCCTGTTTCTCAAAAACTCGCGGCGAAGGAAATTTTACAAAGGTAATTTATGTGAATAACTTAAAAGTTGTATACTTGTATTAATATTTAATAATTCCCATCAGTTATTCAAGTCTACAGCCATAACGTGAGTCTTGGAGTTTCGGCTGGAACCTTACAAGCAAGACGACGGCGAACACATCGAGGCACTGCTGCAGCTCTGTATATACAATGCGAAAAACGTTTGACGCAGTAGCGACCTATGCTAACACTCAAATAGCGTAATAATATATTGTTTCCACGTGCAGGGTTTGCCGCCGAGCCGTCCAGGAATCGTATATTCCCAAAACGGTGCACAGGAATAGCCTGGCGATCGGTTCTTTGCAGCAGCCCTCTCGGGACGTTCTGCGGTTATCCCGAAGCTGCGTAATCCGTGGATTATTTACTTTTGGTTGTCAAACGTATACTAACCGGAACGGCGACGCTATACTATTACCGGGCAGAGATGGGGACAATGGGGCACAGTGCGCTAAAAAAATGTTAAAGGCATGCGCTTAAATCGCACTAAGAGTATGCAATTAAAATATTACATTATAATGCGCCATCGAAATACCGCCAGTGAAACATTATGCAACCATCGACAAATTCGAACGCAGTTAAATATCATATGATTTCCCTTTTGTCCAAGAGAATAGTTTAAATAGCGAAGAAAATAAAAAATGTATCGACTTTTTTTCGTCCACATACTAAATAATAATTTTCTAGTAGATAGCTAGGTAGTATATAATTTCTACATAGATCATTTTTTTTTTAATTTTAAAAATGTTGAATATTATATCGGGCCAAGAACAAAAATGTTAGTTTGTTTTATCTGAAAATTGTATATTTTTTATTATCCAATATTGAGTATATCTCGTAGTTATAAAATATTTTATGCAATACAAATCAACAAATATTTATATTAAAATAACTAAGATATGCAAAAACATATTGTGCTTAAGATTTTTGGATCCATTTTTTTTTTCATCATATCATGTCTTTTATTTGACTTTCTAAACGAATATGTAAATTGCCATCATTATTATATACTCCTGGACCGTCAACCACTCTTCGATGTCACATACCTAAACAGTATTTTAATCTAACAGACATGAACATGCACTAAGGACTGGGCGTAGGCATCCAGCCGATCTTTTCTTTCCATCACACCTGTCCGAACCACTGACTGGGCGGAATGAAATCGGTCGTGGAGCGTCGTCAAGACTGCACCCGAGAACGATATAATATTATTATCTGCTGTATAGTTTGTCCTGTTGGAAAAGTCCGGGCACGCTTGCACTATATTATATAAGTGTCAGAGTTGTTAAGTATTTGAGTAAAAGTATTCAAATTACTTTTATTGGTATCGAGTACTTTTTTTTTAATGACTTTATCATCCATAAAGTATTTAAATTGTGTATTTTGAAATATTAATTATTGGTATTGGAATTCATTTTTCTTTCAGGTGAACTATTTTTTTTTATTGGTAATAATTTTTCGTTAATC